TTTTTTTTTTTTTTTTTTTTTTTTTTAAGTTTGCACGAATAATACCAGACGCACTCGATAGTCGTCACTTGACATTAAACATACCACGGACGGCTCATTTGACTCTTTTAAAGCCAAAGATACGTTTATAAAAAATTGCCGCTAGGTTTAATAATCTCTCTGTTTACCATTTACCAAGAATATTCTGCACATTTAGTCAAATTTTGTCTTCTGTTTATTCGAACTTGAGTAACCGTACCCGTCACATATTTGTCATATGTACGTAAGTCGTAATAGCAGGACGCACCATTAATGCTGGACTATCAAAACCGGAGTCTGCAGGCCAAGTTGATTTTAATTTTGTCACTCCTGTGGTTTCTGTGAAAAAAAAAATTTGGGCATACAAATTTATAGCCTATCCGTCCAGGTTAATACAAAAAGAATATTCAACTTCCAAACTACAAATCCGAATACTCGTACGAGTGCAGGATGAGGTTTAAGAATTTCGTTTAAAAATATGAATTTAACATTTATACCAAAAATATGTATTTAAAAAATATTTCTTTAAAAGCCAAAATATTCGTAAGGCCAAAAACGCCTTCTATCGTTAACGTCAAGGAGCACGAGAAAGGTCCGAAGACAAAAGAGCCCGAGACAAGGAATACATATTAAGGGAACGAATGAAAGATACGATCGTCCGTAATGAACTAGTCGCAACCGCTATCTAATGAAGACAGCAGCATTGCACCGCGCCAACTTCAAGTCACTCAGCCTCGTTAGGCAGCCTGAAGATTCTCTCGCATCCCACGTCTCATATCTCGCGTCCAACGTTTCACCTCTCACCTGTCCTCCTCCCTGTTCCTCCACCTATTTCATTCTCATCTTCGTCCCAATCTCGCGTGGCATTTTCTCTCTGCCCGGCGATCTCTTATCAGCACGTGCTTCGGAGAGATAAGCATTGCGTCTGTACGGGATTATGCCACTACTTTGCTCTCCGATGCTCCTACCCGGGGTCTCACGTAACGACAACACGTCGATTACGTCACGAAAGGTGATTAAAAAATATATATATATATAGATGACCCTTGCGCCAGCTTTGTCGAGCCAGTCAATCGTCATTACACGGGGCATCAGATGGATCAATTAATTAGCCGATGATCGTGGTCCGCCAAACAAGCTAATTAACCTGTTTACTTGCAGAGGCGGATTGCTGCGTCGGCGAGAGTAACGCTGAGGCATGCTGGGAACCGTGCTACTGCGTCCTCCTTCAGGACGAGCAAACCCTCACCGCCTACAGGAGCGAGGACATGGCAGTGAGTTTTCACTTATAAATCTTCACTCCCTTGACTCCCTTTGCCTTTTGCTTTTCTCCTTTGGACGGTCGATCGGCCGATCGCTCGACGAGTCGATAACGTGAAAGTAAAACGACGCCGGGTCGTATGACGGTCTGTTGATTTTCTTATGCGCCTACAAGCACGAGGAAGGTCCGGCGGGGTTGAGAAAGACAGCGAGAGAGGGGCGGCGGGAGGAGGGAGAAAGAAAATAAATATACAAATTGAGACTCGGAGGGGGATGGAAAACTAAAGGGGTGGGAGAGGACTTCGTATCGATGACGAGGGTCGACTAGTGTATTATTAAATTGCGTGGCAGATACCACCCATCCGACTCCCCCTGAGAGGAAGGCGTCAGAAGGTGCACGTGACGGGGGACGCGTGATTAGATTTGGTTTTTCTTCGGCGAACAAACGATCCAACGTGACTTCGGGTACTTTTCTTTAGGTTTCCTTTGGGTTAGATTCAAGTTGTCCTTCCTCTCTCTCCGCCGCCCCTTTACCCGAGCCGTCGGAATCCTTTGCTGCGCACGTGTCTTCTTATCGGTCCCCCCACTCCCGCCTTTTCATCGCTCGCCTGACTGTTACGTCGCGTTCCTGGAAGAGGGGGCTAGACAGGTAAAAAGAAGAAGAAAAAGGTCGAGTGGCAGAGGGAACTATGCAGAAGGGAAAAAAGGATGTAAACGGAGCACGTGGCAAAATTTAAATCGCGTTCCGAAAGCCACTCGAAATGGCCGTCGTTATAAATTTCCAGAACGCTCAGCTCCGAGGCTTCGAAATTCACGAGGGCTTTCCAGCGATTCTGCCCCAATTACATCAGTAGAATCGGATCTTCTCGTCCTTGAGTTTTTTCTTCGGTTTTCTGAATATTCGAAAGTAATCGGAGTGGGTTGAAAAAATGAAAAAATACCGTATAACCGTAAATGCATTATCTTCTCGAGACGACGACTGGCCACGGCGCGTCGTCTGTATATCGTATGCACGGGCGAACACTGAAATTACATGGTTCGAGATGGTTCCCCGAGTATGCTAATTACGTCATAGGGTATCCACGCACTCGCATAGTAATCGATCTGAATCTATTTGTTGGACGCAGCTATTCGCCGGGACCGCCTGTATGTTCAAGTCTCATACCAAGGTTTGTGCCTTTACACGTATCTATTTCTTATTGATGTTTAACGTTTGCTTATGTTCCTACAACATCGTCCACGTCATCTTTAATCTACCGTTCTTGTTCCTGTTGGTCTGGATGTCGTCGCACGTGTCGCTGCGCAGCACGCTTAACGTGTAACAAGCGAAACGAGCTTCGTGATAGTAAAATTAGGTAACTGGAAGGGCACTTGTAAGAATGATTTAATGAATCAAAACAGACGTGAGTATCGGGCGTAACGTGGCCGGACTGAGTCATAGAAGCAGAGGGAGAGAGAGAGAGAATAGCCTTTACTAATATATATGCTGTATCAAAAAGATCCCTAAAGGCAGCTGCAGGCGGTAGAAATGATAATTATAAAAATTTGATGTAAATAAAAAATTATAATAGAATTAGTAACGTAAATAAATAAAGATATGAATATTATATGGAGAATGAGAGATAGAGAGAGAGAGAGAGAGACATAGAAATAATCCCTCAGATTTGGTCGTGCCGTTGCGCTGGCGTCACTCAATAAACTCTAATGAGTGATGTCAGCGTGTCGCCAGGTCAATCCACGACGTTCCGAGATAAAGTACAAGACAGACGGGTTTCGTTTACCGTGGCGAAACGGCCGCGTTTGCCATTCCCGTATCTGCCTTTTAAAAGTTCTTCATATCCGGTTCACACGTGTACCAGTGATTCCTATTGTCTTTCGGACGATGGACGTCGTACGGGGATACGTGAGTGATTACAGTATCTCTGCTCTCGATTCAGATATCTCAGTCCTGCCGTTTAGTTGACACGAAACAGGACCGGGCATGCATTATCCATAGTATTTTTCACGAAGGTGCAGCGAAAGTGTCGTTGGCTCGTGACGAAGCCATTAAGAGGGTGCTCCCCTGGCGCGAGGGGTTGCCTATCGGCAGGCGCGTTGAATCTGTCGCACGGTAGCCTTATAGGATGTCTGTGAAATCCCCATTTTTTGCCTTTAGAGAGCATTAAAAGAGCGACGAAGAGCGAGGGAGTTTATGAAGCTTCGAGAATGACGCATATAGGTGTTTTGGACGTGAGGTTGCAGAATGGCGCACAATAGCGCAGAAGAGCGCACGAGGCGTATAGCTAACGATATGGCTCCGCTAATGATTTCAGCTCGGGGACGCAATGTTCGTCGAGCTGCCGCGCGTTCGTCTCGACGGGGGTGCTCGAGCATTCCGTCAGCACTGGGGATACGAGACGCGACCCCTGGCGCCGCCGCCACCCCTCATCGAGGAGGACGAGGTAGCCGTTGAACCGGAAACTGTCAGCCTTCGGGAAGCCAACACCGCTTCCCCCATAGGTCAGTACTTTTGTTTTTACTACATTTTCTCTTTTCTCTTTCTTATTCTTGAGCATTCACTTGTCTTTAGCTCGAGAGCCTCCTTGTGTCCTCTCGTCACCGTCGACGAATGGCGGCGCTGCTGTTCCGCGCGGGTTACGTCGGGTTTAATTAGAATTTGCGTTTAATTGCTACGTGCCTGGAGGACGCCAAGAGAGGCTCAAAGCGGCCCTTGGCGGAGACTTTTCTGTAGGAGGGCAGCTACTGGTAGTTTAAAAAAGTTTTCAGAAAGTTCTTACTTGGAGTTTGCGAGCTATCTGCAATACCGACCTGTGCGTCGGTAAGGAGGGTTTCTTATTTTCCGACGGTGCTGCTCGTTGTCGGAAACTTTTTTATCGGCGGGAATTGTATGATTTTTTTATTTGACGTCGTATTGACATAGATCGCGCGACCGTTTGAGCGCTGCGCGAGGATGAGCTGCTTCTAGGAACTGCTAAATTCAGCATCGATTCTAAATAATCATGAACGAGGAATGCGAAGCAAGCTTCTTCGCAGTGTTAATAGTACACATTTTCTTTCGGTAAATGCACGATCTGGTTTAGTATTGGAGCCGGCTCTGGATTTATAATGAAATTCATACCAGGGACGAGTCTCCGCTTTTTCCCTAAATACGTGATATTTGAAGACTCGTCGGATCTTTCCACAGCATTCTTAATAAAAGTCCAAAATTCGTAGTGCCGTCCCTGTATAACTTTCATTCCCTATCCCCATTTTGGCTGTTCAACTACGGAGCTGCCTCGGGGCACTCCTGCTGGAGCTTCCAAAGTAAAAACATTTTTACCCGTATCGCCAGTCGAGCGCACCAGCGTGCGCTCTCGAGTGAAGTAGCACGTGGCCATAAGGAATCTGGTTTATTTAAATGTTAATTATCTCCAGTGCAGTCACACCTCATTAGCAGTAGGAGATGACACTCCTGCTCTCTCGGGCACGCGCCTAACTTCCGCCCTCCCCGCGAAGGGTGTCACTAGCTCCCCCCATCCAACTAAAAATAAAAAGTCACGTTCAGCGTCGCTCGCGGTAATTTTCGATGAGAACATTCATACACCAAAAATCGGTCAACCTGTTCCTGATGAAGTTCCCTTAAGAAATTCTCCAACTGCGCAGACGACGATCCAGCTTGGCCGGCCGGTACTATAAAGGCCAAAGCCAACCTAACGGGCAGACACGTGATTGCGCCCTGGAATAATAATAAACTTATTACAATAAATACGAACCTCTCCTATCGAGCTGATCGTATGGACATTCGTGACCGAAAAAGGTTTCGACCGTTGCTCGTGGAAATGGCAGTACCGATCGTTCGATTGCGTAAGACTCACTCGTGACATTCCTGCCAATTAGCCGTATCGGTTATGGTAGTCCGGGTAAGGGTAAACGTGACGACGATCATCAGTTTATCGACCTCGGATCATTTTTGTCCTTTTCTTCGTTTCGCCTGAACCCGACCGCAAAGGCGAAGAACATCTCGCTCGATTAAGCTCTGTGAATGTGGTTGCTCAGCCGGGATGAGAACCACGAACTACGAGGATCACTGAGAGAGGAGACTTCGGCTTGATAAACGTAGTCGCAAAGTGTATGCACCTATGTCCAAGGCCCTTACCGGATATGCTCCCACCGGAAGGAGCCATCCCAGTAGACCTGGCTCTTGTCCTCCTGGAGGCTGCTCTGCCTCTGCCGGTTCCTATGCCTCATACGCACGCACTAGAAGACAGTGCTCGTGCCTCCTACTGTTCTGACCTGGGGAAGCATCTTTTTTTTTCCTCGACCAAACTTTCCTTCACTCTTCTACGTGGTCGGGATTCGTCCGATGACGATGACACGTGCTCGGTAGGAACTCCGTATACGCTTGGTAGCTTATAGAGCGAGGAGTCGGTCGCTGTACGTGCAGAGCGAGAGACGGGATAGGTGCCCGAGATAGGAAGTCGAGGAAGCCAGGTGCGCCTTGCTGAGGTCGTCGGGCGCGAGTCGCATCTTTTTGATGATCCTCGTTCTGTGACGTCACGAGGCGAAAATTTTTAATACGGAGTGCATGGATCATCTTACTGGTCCGTATAACTACTAACGAGACTGCTGTACTTCACTTTTGTTACGAAGGATCAATTGGGTCCAAGGGTTAGTTCAGAACTGATCTAGATCTTTCGTGTATAATCAATCTTTGAACTGAAATGGACCTGGGTATGATTTTACATTGAAGAAAATTAGGGATCATAGATAATTCATGGATCATTCTTAGATCGTGCATACGTCATTGATTTAAGCATTCGCTGTAGGAAAGATCCATTTTGAGATCGGTTTTGGATCCATAGTCTGACCCTTGGTAGATCCTAGTCCGATCTTCCGAGGAGCATGTGGAATTGCAGGAGAATAGGACGAGGAGAATAGGATCAGGATGTCGACATGTAAATAGATCCAAGTAAGGCACGGTACCGGTAGACGTACCTGTGCAAGATCAGATATGGATCATGGTCAAATGATCTATGTCTAAAATTTTTACCCGGGGAATAACGCTATGGGATAGCAAGAATTTCTTGGATCTTTTTTTTTTATGTTCCAAAACCCATGACGATTCTTGTAATTTTATGGAAAAGAAAGAAATTCTCTTTCCGAGTAAAAACGTCGGTACGTTTGCGTGCTGGGCTTATCGGTGGCTGCGACCACATCCTCCGGAGGGAGCTTTTACGTCGTCGATCAGTCTGTGCGAAGTAGTCACTCCGCGAAACGTCTCCGGTCGGACTGTCTCCTCGTTGTCTCTTTTCCAATGCATTTGCAATTTGTCTTTTGAGCATTTGATTATTTTCTAGTGCATTGACAATTTTTCCTTTTTTTTTTTGTCTCTCGTCCGTGCACTTCCGGTCGTCCGGGAAAGTTCCGAGCGAAACTCACGAATTCCGGATGCGATAACGCTCGTCAGTCTCGACACGCAGTGCATTCGCGAGGCGTTAACCGTGCGTTAGGACGCTACGATAAATCCACAAAGTCCAATGACTCTCGGTTACAATTGTAAATCGAGGTTCCCACGTGCGCCGAACAGTATGGTGAATCGCGGAACCAATGGAAACAACGAGTTTCGCTTCAGTGCCCGGTGAACCGTGTCTGTCCGGTGGGGCGGTTGGTCGTTAAATAATATTCGTATATTTAAAAGTTTGACGTCAGTGCCATAAGAATGCCGAAACAATTAGCCAAACAGCGAAGCATCGAATCTCCGTTATCCTCTTGCTGAGCCACCGTGTTTAACGAATGAGGAGCCGAGGGGCGGCGAGAAACAATAAGCACTGGGCTTACCGAGCACCGAGCCGCAGCGCTGACTGGATATTAATAGCCAGATTGGCAATTCTGTCAGGATGAGACATAGAAATGTATGGGATACGTTGATGAGGAAGCAGAGGAAGAATTTAAATTTGAGCACGGTTAGCTCGACCGATAGTACCTGTGAGTACTGATTGGTTACTGTGGAAATTTGAAAAAAAAAAAAATTTTTTTTTTTTTTGGAACTGCAATTTCAAATTTCCCGCTTCCCGCATTCACTCTCCGTATAGCTCAGTGTCTGTCGGACTCGAATCTTCCACGGGTTAATAATCGTCTTACGACTGTGTAATTGCGAATGGGTAATGTAATATTGTATTTCACAACACAGCGTCTAGCATATGCTCCTCGGAACCGCCTGGCTTCGCTGGGTAACTCAAGTACGCAATAGTTCAGAGGGAAGGTCCGGGAGCTCCGTAACACGAGCTTCCTACGGGCTACGTGGACACTTGGTTAGGTTAGGTTAGGTTAGGTTACACACTCCATCATTTAATCCAGCTTGTATTCCTTTAAACGCGACATTATCGTGACGTTCTCTTTGCCTGTAAACAGATACGACTCGGCCCGGTTTTGCATGAGTCTGGAATACACGGTAGTAGCCAATGATAAGTCCTCATAGACATTTTCAGTATCTTCGTTGTCCGTTCGGATTGTCAGTATATTTATCTCTGTATCTACTTGTACTATCGTCTCTTCCCTTGAAATCCCTTTGGACGTTCGTGTATTTTCGTTAAATTTTTGTCAGTGTGATTCGAAATTAGGTATCTGTCGCTAATATATAGATTTCTTTGATATCTGTCAAAAATCATTGCCGGCGACTAATGGAGTAAAGGGGAGAGAAAAAAAAAAGGATTTTCAATAGAATTATTTTGCTATTGGAATTCGGCCTACGTCACTCTCCAATTTACTGTCTCTGGCTCGACAAAGCATCCCATAAGACACGTGCACTTTTACTTCATTTGTCACTCCGGACCCACGTGACCCTTTTGACCCTTCGAAGAGACAATACGTTCGCTCAAGTCGTGGACGGTATCGGGTGTCAAAGTTTGCTACGTTAAAAAAAATTTTGATTCGCTCAAATCTCATCGCAGAACTTTACGGCGTTAATTACATGAATCTCGTCAACAGGGTTTACCGATCATTGGTCATCCTTGTTTATTATCGCTTTCTGTACTTCCTCGAATGTCTGGTAATTTTGTATTATTTCCACTGAGCCATTCAGGGCGCTTACGGCAAACGACTGAATGCCGGCTTCAATTTGCTCCCCGGAGAATTCACGATAAACTGATCGAGCCAGTTAACTTCGTTCCGGCGACATTAACGAAGTTAAGTGCATTTTGTAGCACGGATGCGCTTGGTCAACGGAGAAGCTATGCCGCGTACACACGTTTCCTCGTCGTCTTGGATCTTCGCGTGCCTCCCGTTACGAATTCTGAGCTGTTGTCGCTCGACTTTACTTCGGGAAGACCCGTCTTCGTCCTCCCACGTTCTAACGCCACTCGCTGTAACTCTTACGGAGACCAGACCCATCGTCACGCTCCTACGTATTTCGCTCTTGTCCTAGAAAACCTTTCTATTGCACGCTTCCCTTATTTTAGGCGAAATAAGTTTCGAGCTCTTAAAAACTCCGACCCCTTTCAGTGGTAAAGCCGAGCGTCGCAGTGCCAAAGTAGAAAGTGGAGTTTGCCAACTGGATAAACTTACGCGTTACTTTGAGCTGTTAGGTGCTACACGTATGCGGGGTGTTTCAGTTAGAATTTCTTAATTCAACTTAGATGTCCAATAGGCGCGTCGTGTTTAGTGGACTGTCGAGTAAATTTCTATATACGTATGCACGTACTGTACCATCGCACAATATAAAAATGGCAGATTCGTTGAACGATTGACACTGTGCAAATGAGCTTCGCCATAGACTTTTATGTCTTCTTAGAAAGTTATTATTAATCGTCGTTACCTTAAACGAATGTATAAATTATGTAGCGCCGGTATTGAGGAGGGTCTCTGCTTTACCGACAAGAGGAACGCACCATAGGCATACCGTGGTTCCGGAAGTCGCGTCTCTTCGTCAACTGGCACCAGGGCATTCTCACTGCGACTGTAAGTTTCAAACGACTTAGAGGGTGATACGCAAATAAATAATTTGAAATTTTTTTTTTTTTAATATTTGACATTTTTATTCGGCCGATATAGCTATTGCCAATTGCATCGACCACGGCCCCATGGTGGATACTCGCTGAAAACAAGGGGAAAAAATTATCTTTGTCTACGTGAGACTTTGCGGGACTTAAAAGCGCACTGACAGGGTGTACATACGAAAATCGGAAAATTGTACGAACGGAAGATTTTCTTGACAAATCCTCTGTCCTGGTTACGCGGATCGGACACGTGCGAAAATCAATGGCTAATATGTCTTAGGTGTTTCATTTATTTAACGTTGATTCACACTTTTACTTTTTAGCCATTATCAATGATCACGCTTACGAGGCGACTCCTACCTCCGACTCCTGTTTGGCTTGATCTGCCGATTTACCACAATGGGGATAATCAGGCGGCGTATTTCGCCACGTAAATCGAACCCTCGAACCTCACGTGGACTTAGCCACTTTGGCTGCTCGTATTTCCACGATTTGACGTTTGCGATGCACGCGGTTGCAAAGTGGCGCGACGCCCGAATGTATCCGGCCTCGTAATCACGCGAGCGGGTAAACAGAGCTGATCGATATATACGCGTTAACGTGCGTGCGTGTTCAACTGGCTTTCCTTTATTATTGTAAAATCTCTTCGCATCGATATATATATATATATATATATATATATATATATATATATATATAGGGTGTCCAATTAAAAGTGATAAATTAAAATATCTCACAAATAAATATATGATTTTATTTAAAAAGAAAGTCTTCCTGTAACATCGCCATTTTACACTCTACGTTTTCCCTCACATTTTTCCCACGTTTACTCCTCGAAACCATGTGACTTTGATAGAAAAACTTTTTTCGATTAATCCCTCGGTTCGTAAGATTTTCTAACGAGTTATTTAAAAGACACCCTGTATGTATAATAATATGTATAATTATTTTTCATCTCGATCATCGATCGATCATTAGAAATTTAAAAAAATTTTCCTCTGCTTACAGGTGAGTCCAAGTCAATGTCTTTGCCCAGAGCGTTTTATCCGGAGCTACCTGAGCCGTACGATCGAGGTAAAGACGCGCAGTTTCTCTCGTAGCTGTTAATTGCGACTGGGATATATTGTCAGCCATTGTTCGAGCCGTGCGATTGTTCTGTTCTGCGAGTGTGAAACGTGGCTTAAGAAAAAAAAAAATTAATAACGCCGCCAACGTAGCTGTACGATTTCCAAGTAGTACCTGCCTACCGAGTCGTTCTACCTGGAAACAATAATTTTTATGGTCGGTTACCTCTTGCGCGGCGCTGCTGTCCGTGTCATTGGGTTACGGAATCGAAACGGACGTTCGATATTTTTCGAGAAATCCCGAGGTTGTTAGCGCGATGGAGTTACATAAAAAAAAGGAAAAAGGACCGACACGAAACAACCCTAGGATCATCATGGCCAATCATACGTACATTAATACGAGCCAAGCCCTGGATGCTTTTCTAATATCAAACCATCGGTTCCCTAAGTAATTGCGAATAGGCACGTTCGCGGTGCTCTTTATTATCAATGCCCATTGTCTTTCCTGGAACGACGCAGTACACTTGGCACGGGCGTGGTTCGAGTCTGAGATAAATATTTTCATGCGCTCCTAGTCGAAGCTACATTCGCACGTAGCAGTTTGACTTTCGCTCTGACACTGGGAAACGAGGCGTCTTCGTCCTCCTGTATAATGGTCGAACCTTAATTATTTAAATTAACGAGCATGTGGTAGCTGGACACTTGCAGCTGCAGCTGGCTCGGTTGCCGGCTTTGCTCACTGGCACACGAGTCTCTCATGAATATGTATGCGGCTTCCGGTCATGTGCGCAAACGCACGCGCGCAGCGCACACAAGAAATAATTTCGTCTCCCACGCGACCGGCTTCCGTTTCCTTTATCCGTCTAAGAGCCCGACTGCTTATCTGGTTCCTCAAATTCACGTCCTCATTTTCACCGGGATCACGTGGCCCAAATGTTTGGTCTTCGGTGGCTAAGCGTTTTTTGTCGCTGCTGGTTACGTCTGGTCTTTGTTTTTTTTTTTAATAATAATAATATGCCCTCTCATTTACCTTATTTCGCCTATCGTCAACAGTCCCAGCTTTGCGTTTTATCGCGGCCGAGAATTCTCTCTGGAGAAAATGGAGTCTGTGTGGGTATTAATGAAAATGACGAATACGTAGGAGCCAGGTGTGGTTAGGTACCTGCTAACGTGTCCGATCCTTGCGAAACGTCAGAGAGAAACGATACGGTGGATTTGGGACGAGCCGCTGGAGAGCCTACGGAAACGGAAGCGAGGTCGTGGTGCAGACGGGCCGGAAGTTACGTACGTCGTAGCTACGAAGCTTACGTAGAGAATTTGGCGAGGATCGTTGCTCCGTATTTATGATGCAGCATGGCCCGGAGCCAGGTTAATGCGTCAAATCATCGGGTACGTTTGCTAACGTCGTCTTTTTCCATCTAGGAACTTATTCTCGTTTACACGGCTCCTCGTCTTTCTCCTGCGTAAAGTATGTAGGTCGTTGCGTAAAAAGTTTAAAGCCACCGCACGCGTGTAAGTAGCTTTGAAAGTGGATAGGGTCACGTGTTTTTACGGGGTGGCGCGTACGTAGAGATTCGCCATGGTTAAAATTTATTATCCGTCGATTTTTTATCTCGGTGGGTCGTACTGGTGGAAGGTAAACATATTTTTGCATAGGGATTCCATTATCATTACTTGGGTCACTGCTGGAAGTAGCGGCGTCGCGCTGTCCTGCTCGACGCGAAGTGTCGACATTCGTTGTTTACCAGCACGAAGCGACTTATAAGTCTAATGCCTGGCTTTTGATGTTCCTGGGCTAATTTCACGCCTCCGATATATTCCTTTGGAATAACAGTGGCACGACGAAGCACACGGCTTACGGGTGCATCGCTAAAAATAGGTGAACACTCTCCGCTACGCCATAACATACATAGTGCTCTCACGTGGCTGATCCCGACGCCGAGGCCGGCGAGGGCGGAGGGTATAGCATGTACGTACGTTCGGCTCGCAAGTAAAACTGAATAATGCGAGGAAAAATAAATGGCTTCTGCTTGTTGAACCACGCGTGCCGCGCGAGCCGGTCGAATTAACGTGATTATAAATAATGCAGCTGGGTGTGGATTCCAGATGTGCTTTCGTGAGGTTACCTCCGGGGAATAATCCCGATGGCTGGTATCGTGTATCCTTTTCCTTCGTGGAGTCCGTTATGTAATTCATCGCTCTCCTTAACATTCCCTTCGATCCTGAACGCGCGTCTTCGCTTCTGTGTTTACAAAGAAACGTTCTACTCGTCATTGCGACGAAGGCCCCCCCGTGGGGTGCCCCCCTAGCTGAGAAGCAAAGCCGAGAGACATTGCTGTCTCTTGGGGTCTGTCTGTACTGGCTTAAAGTTTCTATACTCTACTCACTGTACACTCTGTGCGCTGTGTAGACTGCAGTTCGTTTCGTAGACAACGTCCTCTTACCCCCTCCGCTCCCTTCACTACGAAGCTTGGCCCGAGCCACTTTTACTGTTCCATGAGTCCCGGGTCGGTCGAAACCGGGTGGTTGTGTCTCCTGATGTTCGTCCCAGGTAAGGAATACGATGGGATCGTATGGATTGAAGAAAAATATAAAAGTACGGTTTTACACGTGAAACGGAAGTGCTCCTGGAGATCGGACAGAGGGTACAAAGAACGGCAGGAGCAAAAGTTCGATGCGTGCGGTTGATGAGATAGGCGGTCAGGAGGTATTAGGAGTGGGGCCCGTTTCCTCGTAGCGACGTACCTGGAACAGTGGTGCCGTTCTGGTCGTGGTTGTGGGACGAAGCTTCGTCCCACTCCGGGCTCAACTCCGACCAACTCCGACAGTCCAGTTTCGATGTTCCTGCGCGACGGCGGCTCGATTCTCGTTGTTCCATCCGATTCGGACTCCTCTTATCCCGACTCGTTAAACAGTACGCGCGTCGCGATATCGAGTGACCGAGTGACGGAGAATTTTTTTACCGAGTTTGAAAAAAAAACTGTGCCTTTTCTCAGGTTAGGACACTCGAGGATAACCGATCGTAGGAACCGGTCTTCGAGATACGCGAACTCTGTATACTCTCTCGTCCTTTGCTCCTGTACGAGGGACACGATTCAGAAGGCGGCGAATCTCTGGGGAATTTCGTACGATGGCCTTGAGTCCGATAAAGACCGATTATATTACAATTAGAGCTCGTCAGTTAACTGTGGAGTAGAATTAATTATTTAATTATCTCAATTTTTGTTAATGACTGACGTCACCGTAGAAATTCGCAATTAGACGCTTCTGCGTAACCTTCGTTTGTTGTTTCCCTCGAATTTTTCTATCGAAGAAAACCCCAACGAATAAACGCATCAGGATGTATAGTCAAGCTTAGCAGAAGACGGATTAACGAAGACGGTGTCGTATCGCTTCTACGTAGAATCGTATGTTTACCGGTGGTATTCGCGTTATACCTACCCGTGACAAATCCTTGACTCCGGCATTGCAAAGTAGCGGAATTGTCGAGGTACCAAGTGACTTTGGAATAACAATTACGGTCTTCGTCATTGTCAATCGTCCGTCTCGTTCAGTCGCGTGCAAAGTTATACGCTGGTGAGGTGTCACCGGTTTGTATCCACGATGATAATGACAAGTTTTAACAGGCCATTGCCGAACATGCACAGGAGCGAGGGAGACAGATAATACGGGTCTGCAGCAATATATGTGGCGTAGACGTCAGGCTGTCTAGTCTTATCGTGGCACGTGGGGAGGAGCGGATATGGAACCCTCTTTTTTTTTCTTCCTTTCGTGTGGTCCCCTTCGCGTATCGAGAATCGATCCCTGAGGCCCGTGACCGGCAGGTGTCATTATAGTAATTTTACCAGCAGCTGAAAACTGCCGTCGAGTACTGTCAACCGTACGATTTCAAATCACGCTTGGCTGACGGTAAAAATGAAACTGACTCACCAGCAAGCGAGCGTGTAACCGGTTGTTTTTCTCGCCGAAGACGCAATCGTTACGAAACGATTGTCGCTCTGGGATCGAATAGGGCATTTTGAAAATGTCGGATAAACAACTCTCGCATACCTTGCTCGAGTTGTATCTAGGAGTCACCATTGTTTACTGCTTTTTCCGTGGTGTTCAGCAGAAAAGAAGACAGTGCTCAGTGCGAGTTTGACGGATTAAAAAAGTCGTTGCTACACCAATCGTGGACACGTTAACGTTGATCCAATTGAGCTAAACGTTTGATCGTTCCGTCCTGGGGCGATAACCAGGTAATTGAATGAGGGAATGAAATCCGAATCGGACAGTTATCATCGCGTCGACGATAACGGGGATCGAGGAAGAGCTCTTCATGGCACATAACCAAGATCCTGCGAATCATCTTCCTACGAGAATATCAGCTCGCTCCTCCAGGTAAAGACAAATCCTCGTTATCCACTCGTGACGGTCTCCTGCTGCGGACTCGGTGATAAAAACAGCCGGCAGGGTGGTAACACTGCTTTTTCAAAGTAGCTTCTCTACCACCGCTCTGAATTGGCTGATCAACCTTGAGAATTCCGCACGGTAGAGCGTCTACTGGGTGACAGGGTAAATTGTTAACGACGACTCGATGCGTGGCTCATGATCTACTTATACGTGTCTAAACTTGTTTGATACTCGTTCTTTTATGACTCGGTGCTGCTGTTTAGGAGACGCGCCGGGATATTTCCGTCGCGAACGACTTTTGCTATTGCTATTTGTACTTGTCCGTTGCGCTTACCACTGTGCGACCGGTGTTACCTGTAGGTGTCGCTGATAGGACAGTATCAGTATTTTTGCGACTCGCGTGACTCGACTCCATTAACACGTGACTCGCTGTGTGTCGCTGGTGCCGGGTTCTAAGTTTTTCAACGTACCGTCGGTCTAGTCCGATGGAACGCTTCTCGCGCTTACTGTATTTCACTTTGGTAAAAGAGGTGAAGTCGTTCGTAGCTCGAATCGGATAACCGACGCTCGGCGTTTGAGCTACGGGGACACTTTAGTGTTTACTGAGAGCGGACACGTCATGGCGAGTTGATAAGGACGCCGTGCGATAGAGTCCCTTGAAAAAAAGAAAAAAGCGTACTCCACGCCACTCTCCGTTACCGCGGACAAGGTAATTTCATTTTGTTTAGCGAGCAAAAACCACGCACGATACGCAACACTGAGTTAGGTTATACGACAATTATGTAATACCAATCCTTTTGTCATTTCGGGGATATTTCGTTTGTTGTATAGTGAAATTTCGCGGGAGCTCTCGTTTCGTTACGTAACGTTGACTTTAAAGCGCTGGGATTAATTCGCGTTGGGAAATTTTCTGGGTTGCCCGAAAATACGGACACTCAGACTACTCACCGTTATTTAGAGCTTCCGCTAAGCTGCTTATCGCGTCTGCGTTCTACGTTACTTCGAGTCAGACTGAAATTTTCGAGAGACGAATGCTTGCGATTGAAATTTTTTGAATTTTTTTTTTTACGTTTTAATTTTTTTTAAAGCGACCTACTTCAAATTTTGGCATTTTTTTTTTTCAAATTTCCACACCAAATATCCCGGTACTCTAGTACCGTACACTCGGGCTATATACGTCGGCGGACCAATTTTGCGAAAGTCTGGGAAGTAGATTAGCATCTTTTCAACAAGAGAACAGAAGCCGTGTAACTGGAACAGGACAGGAACTGTTGTTGCGCGTACCTTCTGCAACTTCCTTGAGAATAGCTATGAGGTAATCCTTCGAAGATGTTTTTCAGAGACTTTCGCGCCTGCATACGATCCCTGGGAAAGATTCAGAAGGATCTTGGTCCGTAGTATCGTACGTAGGACACAGGAAGCAGAACAGGTATAACAGCGAACGTTGCTGCTTCCGGTGTCGATAACCAGGACAAAGGGAAACCGGGACGATCCTTCCGGTATTTTTTTTTTCTTTTTTTTTTTTTTTTTTTTTCATTACGAAATAGATATGGCTTTCACGGCTCAATGGGCTCAATCCTGTCGAATAAGGGCGTGTATGTCCCCTTGCGATTCACCTGAAAACCAAAGAGGTCATCGACATTGATAACGCGAGTCATGCGGGTCCGCCAGTTATTCCTACTCGATTATATTAAAATTTACAGATATTTAGAAAAAACCAGTTGAAAATTGACTATTTTGCAAAATGCAACGATCAGATCGCTCAGTCGCCTAAATAATCGTTAATTCGTTCGCGTGCCTTTTCACGGTAATATTCATACTGCGTTTTTCAAGTTCGTCCGGTACTTCCTCAAATCTCAGAACAAAGGCGGACGCGATCCAGTTCTACGAACTCGAACTATTCGCCGTGTCTTATCGATTTTGATATGCACGCTCATCGTTCTAACAGTCTTCCGAAGATCGGTAGCCTCGAACGATCCCCAGCCGTTGGAGGTTAAGCACGTAGCTGGCGCTGGCAGTAGCGAAGGAACGAAGATTTTCGTTTGAGGTTCAAAGCGAAAAATTGTACAGAGAGGAAGGTACTAGAGTAGCGCTATTGTATTTTAGCGAACGAGCTGTTCGGCTTGTATAATTAATATTATTAGTCAATCAGTCTCCCGTGGGTTGTCCTGCGGCGACTCGAGGAACTAAAAGCACAACGGCGGCCGATTTATCGATGCCGCCTCTCGAGAGGCAACTGGCTAAATTGAAACGTATCTTTTTCATTTTTAATTAGCCGATTGTCCCATATAAACTCTACGCATGCCCACGCACTCCCACGGAGTTGCGAGTCTCTACGCAATCTCTCTCTCTCTCTCTCTCTCTCTCCCCTGTAAATATGCAAGAGCCTGCCGTGGGCTGCAGCAACCTACCCATGCACACGTCTTCATATGAGTTAACGCGCAACAATGGGAACATTGCTAAAGAAGAGTCTTCTTGGGATTTAACAAAAACTTCTCTTACCGACCGAGCGCGCTCCTTAGCGCTACAGGCTTCGGTACAGTCTCGTTCAATTTTTTTTGGGATCATGAGCCACTGGTCGTTCGCCGTATTGGAGAACGCTGATATTTTCGAAAAAAAAAAAGTTTGACTTTCTTTCCAGGTGAACTAGAGGCGAGCAGAGCATAACCGAAGGGAAGCGAGAAGAGTTACGGGAACGCGTTTACGTGACGAGGGACGGCCATTTTGATTTGGAGGATAAAGGAATGAAATACATTCGGGCCAAGAAGGCTGTATAGAGTGTATACATACCTGTATATATGTATATTAGATCGGAATAGCACGTAAAGAGGATGTTGGGTCAAATCGATCGTAGCTAACAGAGATTTACGTGAAGGAACAGAATGCAGCAGGGCGTCGCGACGGAAGGCGCCTCTCCAGGAGGCCGTCGACTCTCTCGCAGTTTTCATTCCTGCCTTCGTGGAGCTGATCACGATGATCCCGAATCAGGTACAGGTCCAGCGATCCCTGCCACGGTGTAAATGCATCGGACAGGTCCATTATACGCAGCATCCTTGTCGCCAAGTTCACCGCGGATGATCCATTGGCTCTGGACCATACGGAGAGCGCGTATCGGTCAATTACGTATATGCCGATTGGAAGGGGATACGCACCACGCATTTACGCACCACGCACTCGGAAAGACACGTGCTTCGGGCTCTCCCCTCGCAGCCTCGCTTGACACACATTCGCGAGGACCTCGGCGACCGTCGCCTTACGCTCGTAGACTTCGGATCTGGTGACTCCGACCGGGACCCATCAGTTCATTCCTGACTCTCTGCCTTGCCCGTGCGAGCACCGGGTCCAGCCGTTATTTCCCGGTCGGTCGTGAATTTCGACTGATTCGAATATTGAAAATTCATCCGTTGACCTTGCGCTTCACCGGGCGAGACCGAGGGGCCGGAGTCAGGTCGAGGGTGAACGCGATAGGAATTTGTTTTGACGTTTTACCACGTGCTCTTACTCGTTATCGACATGAGGATCCGATACGTGCCGCAGGACGGTGGAAATTTTGGCAAACGTACGTGCCACGGTTTGTTGTGGTCGTTTGTTAGGTCGAACGAGGAGTGCCTACCTAGTCCGATCTGAGCATTTATTTTTAATGGAGATCTTGGCTGAGATGGTCAGCCGGATTATGGACTCGAGTCATCGGTTCGTTAGCGTTGGCGGACGGTTACTTTTTTTTTTTTAAAAAAAAAAAGGGGATATATGCCGTATTAGACATGGGAGTTGTATATTATTGGGAAAATGAAGCTCGTCGCGAAATAACGAGTACAGTTAATCCAAGGTGCAATACGGGCGAACGACTTGAGGAACGAGCGATGACTCGATTCTCGTTGTCTCGTATGTCGGGGGAATCGGAGCATGGCTGGATATGGTCAGCGCATCCATTAAACGTACCGAGAAAAAGCTGTCCTCGGGGAAAAACTCGCGATTCCCCAACGAAACGAGGTTGCGTAACTGCTCTGACGTCGGGAGAGGACGTACGAGCTGGCACATGCTACGTGTATAGTAACTTATTTTTATTCGTACAATTGCACGGCTAATTGTCTGATCGTAGAACGACGCTTCTGTGTTTCAGGTGAGTCCAGAGTTATGTCCTTACCTAGAGGCGTTAATGGTCAGAGGGAGGACAGGCGACGCGACCGTAAAGGTAATGTACTCGAATACTTCGTTTCGATTGATCGAAGCTGCTAGCACGGGCTCTTTTGTGTTTTATTGAGATAATTAAGAAGATTCGTGGGTTTTGACCGATTTTTTACTTCTTGTTTTTTCCAATACTCGTACTCGTATTATCATTCCTGATTGCTTGGAGATGCCGAAGCGGTAATTTACCGATGGCTCATTGAGATTCCTGGGCAGTCTGGTTTGCGGGGTACCCCTCTGGAAATAGATGCTCTTGTAAACATTTGGAAACTTTGAGAATCGAGTAACGGACGCGAGTGTTTTGCATATTGATACTTTTGGAATTTGTGATGAGCAGCTTTTTATGCGATTTTATAGGCATGTAATTAAATCTATACGCTGATGCGTAATGCCTAGGATCGCATGGAACTCTCGTTTTTCTTGAGGCAATGCTATAAGAGGCCTTGGCCTGCAGGCGGTTGACTGTAGGAGTTGGCCGGATATATTAATTAGAAGGTTGGTCGACGAGGAATTCCGTGGGCGTGAGTGTGGAGTGATATGATTAATTCCTTGATCAATCAATAATGTCAGGAGGATAGTAGCGAAGTGAGAAATTGAATGAGTAGTCAGGTTTGACTGATTGACGGAATAAGAACAAAAAGTTGGAGTATTGGATTATATAGAAATACCGAGGACTCTTATCAGGAGTATTTTCTACTACGCGACGATTTAATCTAATTAATTTAAATTATAATAGAGTTAGGGCAAGAGGTATTGCGTAACTTTAGTCTGCGTAACACAACGTCCGCTCTTATCGACACCTGCCGGTAAAACAGTTTCCAAGCGAAGAGTGATGGTAGTGACGCCCGCGGACGTTGCTCGAACTATCGCGAAGGTTACCGCTCACGCCGGCAACGAAAATTTCAGTTTGGTCGTTAAAAATGTTTGAAGTTTAATTCTTGTCTAATTACGTAAGAATTTTCGGTGCGGCTTATAATTTTGCATTTATTACCGGTCGTTAAAAACTAGTTTTGATTCTCTGAAAAATTGATTATTCTTAGCCCATTTGTTTGCATATATTATTTGTACTCTCGGACATCGCACGGGTTATGGATATTCATAGTGTCGCTGACATCCGTGACAGAATTTAAATTTACATTGCGAAGTTGGCCGTACGTGTTTGTACTTTTTGTGGGAGGAGCAAAGATGTTGGCAATACGAGAAACATCTGAAAAACCTTTTACATCCTCGACTGTGAGCGCGTCAGGGTTTTACACCCTCAGCGAGACAATGGCTACCACACCCATGAAAGTTCTTCTTATCCTTCTTTGTTTTCTTCTCCTTCCACAACTCATACCGGTGACTCTATCCAGCAGGCTCGTTTTCCAGACTTTCGTAAATATCAAGTGACGCGTCTGGCTATTTTTTTCCCCTCGCCCAAGAACTTCTCGGTGTACGTGCATACGCGTAAGCTGACACGAACTTGACGGAAAGGGATAATAAAAAGGCCTGACGCACTCGTTCACGAGGAATAAGAAGAAACAGCAGAAGAAGCAGGATATCAGAGCAGCCAAGTCGGCCAGCCAGTTGGATTCTCTTTTCTCGTTGCGTTCTAACTGTGCGTAAGTCAGGCCTGCGCAGGCAGAAATGATTACGGCAATGAGCATTCATTAGTAACTTTTAATATCTATAAAGCCATAACCCTCGAAGAAACGTGGTTCAGTACCTTGGCTAGGATCGGCAATTGTCCTTGGATTAAGTATTTGCCGAGGATATCTCGTCGACGGGACAGGTGCACCTCACCGAAGTCGAAGGCTGTAAAGTGCAGCGAACTTCGCGTAGGAGAGAAAAAAAATGTCAGTGCGTGCTCGTTAACGGCTTGCAAAGGTTAAAATGCACACGGCGTCCAGCCGGATGGAAGTTGCGCCGAGTCTGTCGTAGCATATAGATGCAACGCGCTCGCACTGTTTCGAGGGTCTGCCGCAAGGAGCGCTGGTTACTGCCTCGGAAAAAGTCAGAGCTGCGGACAGATAGTCGTGGGTCTGTCCGCTGTGCGGTTGACGGATCGCTCCTCTGGCTTTCTATCTCTCCTTCTTTCTCTCTCTCTCTCTCTCCCTCTATCTCTCTGTCTGCCTTTCTCTCTCGTTACTTTAATTTCTCCCATTGGCGTTCCATGTTTTTCACGTATTTTTCTCGAAAGTCTCGCTCGAGTTTCTGTCGAACCTCGGGATCGCGGTGTGCTCGAGAGAATTTCTGCCGTGTTTTTTCCTTGCGAGTAAACGAGTGAGACGTACAGTACCTACGTGTTGTGTTATACAGAAGCCAGGAAGCAGCTGTGTAAAACTTCGATCGTGTTACAGAAACTTATGGAATTCTTGTAATCGTACGGTGTTACGGTGATCGGGCGTCTTTTACGACGTTAGGCTAGTAGCGTCGTGTTCGTGAGTGAAAAAAGATCGAAGACGCTCGTGTCGTTTGCAGTGAACGCGTTCAGTGCGTGTCCGTCTTGCGGAGTTGCTCCCAGTGAATGACAACAGACAAGTCGAAGGATACGACGTTGTTTTGAAAGCAGCGAAGCGTCGAGGCACGTGCAGGTCTCGACGACGAACTTAAGCTGTAGTTACAAGGAGGCGGATTCTCGGCGTAATCACAGGAATCACAGTGAGCGTTAGTAGACATGTGAGCGTAGATAAAGTTTGCCTTGGCGAGAGTGACGAAGAAGAGGAGGTAGGAAAGGACAAACGTCGAAGTAACGGTGACATGTTGGGAGCTGAGAGCATCGATGACTCTCCAAAGAGGAGGTCCACGTTCTACGTGTCCCTCGACGGGGAGTCACGATACTCCTCAAAGATCCCCAAGACTCATCTCGAGCCGGAGAAGGAAAAGTTCGCCTGCAACACCTTCCCCATCAGCACGTCCAAGAGTATCCCAAACGTAATCCTGACTCGCGCCCTGAGCAGCAATGCTGTCGAGAATAAGGAGGGCAGCAGCGTGCCCGTCGGTACTTCCGGGAAGGTACAGTCCCTGACCAGGATCTTCGAGGCGCCCAAGTACAGCCTGCCAGAGGCTGCCGAGCAGCAGCAGAAGAAGAAGGTCGAGAGGACCAGGTCGTTCAAGACCATCGAGAGGTTCCAGAGCAGGTTCACCGGCCGGAAGGAAGCAAACAGGAAGGAGAATCGGCTGAACCAGACGATCGCCTGCTTCGACAGCCAGCCGGTTAGCGGACCTGGGAAACCGAGTGGCCTCGCTGGCAGAGCCGAAGCCGGCGGAGGAGGGACCGGCAATGGAATGGCCGACGAGCGCAGGGAGGAGGCTAGGAGGGATCGGGCAGTGCCCAAAATCGGGTTCGGTAAGCCGGCTAACCTGGCGACCACTACCGAGAGGCAGCCGGATCAGAAAACGTCAAAACAAAACACCGCCTTCACCAACCTGATACGCAGAAGCCACAGTACGAAGCTGGCGCGAAGCACCAGCACGCTGGCCCGTGCCACTACCAGGCACAATACCTCCAACGAGAATCCACCATGTCAGACCTCAGTCGCGTCGGCTGGGACCTCACTGGCTGCTTCGACAGCCGCGACGTCTTTTACAACCTCAACCACCTCGAGTATCTCGAACGCCTCGACTTCGTCTACGAGCACCACCGACTCTAACAGCTACGCGGAACACGAGATCGCACCTCAGGCTGTTACGAGGATCGAGGTCATTACCTACGAGGACGACGTGGATGCTGACGCTGGTGTTCATTCAGGTACGGGGATTGTATGGAGGGTCCTTTGAAAATCGAAAGTTTCCTTTTAATTTCACTCCGAGGGCATCGGCCGCTAGATGCTTTTGCGGCTGGGAGTTGCCTCAGGACTCTTTCTCATTCTCTTTGTGTCTCCTCTCTCTCTCTCTCTCTTTCATTCCTCCCTTCACCTGTCTCTCTCACTCGTGACTTTTAATACCGAACACGACTTTTACGAGGACTGGAGTAATCGTCATTATTAGCCGGAAAATTATGTACTCCGCTCCCTGAAGCAGTCCAGCGCAAGACGTTTAACGAGGATTCGTCGATAGTTGCGTACTTACGTAGAAGGTATAGGGGAGCACCGGAGCGCAGGAACAACGTGCAGGACGAACGAACCGTGTAGTTGCTTCACGGGGAAGAAGTTTCTCGGCGGTACCGTTCGCGAGTCTCTTTGTTATCAGCAGGAATAAAGGCCGGCTTATCGTGACCACCGGTAGCCTTAGAACGGTACGATTTTCATTTCTTCAAATGCTTTACCAGTGCTTAGAATTACGTAACCGAAGGATGCCTAATGAATTGAAAAAATAATAATAAAAATATAATCGAACGAAGGATGCAGTTATTGTAGCCCGATGGTCGTGCCCTGTAAGGAGCACTGGATTCCTCTGTACATTCTCCACCGATCGAACCAGTTTAAAGATAAGGTCAATTCGGCCGGCTACCTACCGGAGAGACCTCGAATTCAACCTCATGGCGTCTCGCGTTCAGCCCTGACAAATGACGGGCATGAACGTTGCCCCGTGCCCGTGCGTAACTTCCCGCAGTCCCGTTACACAGCCAAGAGTCAATCGCCGAATGAGCCTCTTATCCCTTATTAACGCATCGTGCCTGATCGGACCTCTTTCTCAATCCATCTCTCTTACTCCAGTTCACAGCCATACCAGGTCTAATAAACGATCTTAGCTGATTCCCCGATCCTCCTTCGCTCTTTACCCTCGGAGCCCCTTGCCTGTTTGTCCCTTTGGCTTCGTCTTTGCCTTTTGTATGGGAGATCGGTCCGCTGGAATCGGCCGATCAGCTCTCGAAGCCCATAACAAGATTTCGGGGACCTACTTATGCAGGGCCCTACCAGTCCTCTTGGGCACCTGCCTCCTGGACCAGAACCCACTCTAACCGAATGGCTACACTTTCCTCTCCTAAACTTCCCCGTGAGCTCTCTCGCTCCCTCTGTTCTATCCTTTGTCGAGCGGATACAGTCGACTCGTGGCTGTGCCTGATCCGTAGCCCAAATATTAAAA